ACGTCAAACATTCGGGATTACCATTTAAAAATTGCTATTTTCTGAGATGCTAATGAAGGCCATTCACATCAGAAAATCCAGTGCCTAAAAAGGAGAGAGTAGCCCAGCCTCCAGAGTAAGGAGTCGAGGAAATGGCCTGCTTCTCTCAGAATAAAAAAACTGCTGTTTGCTTTAGACCTGTGAGAAGTCCCAAACACGGAGAACATGTAAGAGCTGCTTCCAACCTGTCCAGCTCTTGAAGATTTGGGAATGTAGATGTCACCACCACCACCAGTCCTCGCTCTGCCGCCATTACCAGCAGCGCTTGTATCACCCCCTCTACTCATCACAGTCCTTGTACGGTGGAAGTTCGTCCTGGCTGCGCACTGGAGCTGCACAGCACACCACGTGCAACGCGGTCTGCGGCTGCGTGATGCTAGTGACCTGCTCCAAGGCTGTGGCAAGTCACCTTCCACATTTCGTCTCTAGCATCTCAGCTAAGTGGCCAAAACTTTAAACATGATGCCCTCAAGTAAGATCATAAGCAGTGATGAAGCTTATGTAGGCTCTCAGTCTTCCTCCCTCTTAAGCATGACAAACGTTTCCACTGGAACCCATGGAATTAAGAGTACGTTTTATAAGGCAAAACGCATTCCTGAGTAGGCGTTTGTACTAATTCAGGTGCTGAAGTGGTATAGCCACACGGCGGCATGCTCTGTGGGCCAAGGTATTCTGCTTCTCAGCGTGACTAACTTAGCAGGATGGAGCACAGCGCTGTATGGCTTTTAGTACCTATACTGGCTTAATGAGTGCTAGCTTGCATATCTCTAGGTGATGTATTTTTCCACAAAGATACAAGTTGGGAATCTAGAAAGAAGACTAGAGGTTTTTAAACATCTCTTCTACTTCAGAGTAAGTTCAGGCAATCACATACTTTGGGGCAAGCAGACAACTTTTGCATTGCTGCAGGTAGTAAAGATCTGGGTGGGAAAGCACGGCTTTGTATTTGAAGCAGTGCCTTTGGACACAAAACTAACCAGTGCATCCCCAGCCCTTCCCTCCCTAGGACTGCTGTCAAGACAGAACTTTTTCCTTGGGCACCTGTGCTAGCTGCCCAGGGGCCAAGAGCAGAGCATGTAGTGGGGGCACCACCTGCTTCTGTAACTTCCCTCTTGTTCACAAAGCAGTGAACCCAGTGGCCAAACCCTTGATGAAGCAAACCCTTGCCCATCCTAGAAGAAACAAGCCATTCCACGTGGTACAAATTCATTGTCGTGCCCGTGGATGACTTGCTAGTAACAAGCCTGAAGCCCAGAGCCTTACAGCTCTTTAAATGAAAGTTCCCCTGCCCAAGTGGAGACTGACCTCTGCTAGCTTAAAACCTTGAGTGGTGCCAAGGCCCCTGGGCAGCAGCAGAGCTTGCTCCATTATTCCCTGGGCTGGGAGGTGGAAGGAAGTGGAGGTCCCTTCCCCAAGGACTGGCTCAGGACACTCCGAGGGGAGTAAGGGAAAACAGGTGCAAGTGGAGGCCATTTGTCAAACAAGAACAACGCTCTTAAGGTCTCACCAGCTCTGGGACCCTACCCCGTCATTAGGAGCCAAAGAAGCTCGGCAAGGGGATGCATAGTGGGAACAGCTTCTGGTTTAGCAGGGGCTGCAGCAGAAGGGAGATTTTCTTCTACAACAGGATGGATTGCAGAGGGATTTGGTAGCGACTGATGTGCAGGAAGGAAAGGGAAGAGAGTAGTTTCCTTCTCAGATGGTTCAGCTGCTGTTTGCAGGCAGAACTGAAGTAAAGAACTCGGATCTGAATTCTTCCCCCTTGAATACAGGGCATATTGCAAGTATTCAGGGCCCAGGATAAACAAAAATAGAAGAACGTTTGGTTTCAGTTCACATCTTAGTAGTGGCTCATGTTTTACTCATAGTACAGAAAGGGCAGAAGTTCCTGTGAACGAAGAAGTTCCCCTTCTTTCTGTGCAGGTTTCAGAAAACCAGTCAGCAGCGGAGCTGTGCTATTGAACTTGGGAAGACTTCAGTCACCCGCTTCCTAATTCACAAAGCAGGCAGAGCCCTGCAGACTTTTTTTACCTTTTATAGTCACAGGACTAGTCAAGCAAAACCTTGATTGGGTTATTCTGCTTTAATTACAAAATGCACTCAGACCAAAAGCTCAATAGTACCTGGTACATATGTACATGTTTCTTTCAATTATAACACCAGAGACCAAAAGGCAGTCTGGTCCTGCTGTAAATCAGCCATTTCCCTCTCTTTGGAGTAGGAACAGACATCACAGTAATGCTTCAACTGCCTCTTGTGTGCAGGACACCAGACTGTATTTCATCAGGTACTTTGAGATCCTTTAGGGTGGACCATACAAGAGATAAGCAAGAGAAGAGAGGTAAAACTTAGGGTAATTGGAGTCCATATCCCACCACCCACCATCCCCCGGAAAAGAAAAGCAGCAATGGGCCACTCTCTTCTTGCTGCGGTTAGGACAAGGTAGATAAATCACAAGGTTTTTTTTTATTGCTGGTGAACTCAAAACAGGCAACTTTAATCTACTGAGGAAGATACACGTACAAACAAATGTTAGGCCTTGTGCGTTTTTTTCTTCTTCATGTAAATGTTTCTACAACTTCAGTCCAGCTCCCAAGCTCTTGCTGAGCTGACACTGAGACCCCGGTAACGTGCTCTGGGCACTTCTGTAACATGTTATAAGAAGCATCACATGTATTAAAAAGGGAGGTTTTGCAGAAAAGACAAAGCTCTGACTGTAGCCACGTTGCTCAGAAAGGAGAAGTCCGGCTAATCCTGCTGCATTAGGTACATGGTATTATGTATAATTATTTTAATTGATTTAAGAATTTGCTGGGTCCCTTTCTGTTTCTGGTGTGCAAGCTGCAAGTAAAGTGCACTTCTGGGTGTAAATTACTACTCTATGAGGATGCAATAGCTGGGTGGTACATGTCAGACATCAGCGGAAAGCAGAATACAATAGCAGTTACAACGGCACAAGGCAATAAGGATAATGGCATAACATACTAGATGCTGCTGGGAAACGCCTCTGTAGTTTGAGCATCTAAATATTACACCACTGAGCAAAACCACTGTCATTTCGTGGGGAGCTTCTAAAGTCAAGACACATGGCTGTAAGTGTGCACCAGGTTAGCTCTGTGAACAGCCACTCCTACTCCAGTCCCAGCTGCAGCTGGGAGTCACCAAACCCTGTTGCTAACTCCTTTTAACCTTTTTAAAGAGTTTTCTAACAGCTGAGGAGAAAGCAGGGCTCCTAAAGATGTTTACATGAAGCTGGGGTTTTCAGGTGATGCAGGGGTGGTGTAGGAGGCAGCATGACACCACACTTAAGCGATGCTGTGAGAGGACAACCCAGCTTTAGACACAGCATTTAATGACCCTGACAGAACCAGGGCCAAAATGGGGAGACCCCAACTCACAACTGCAATTCTTATTCTGGGCCAGTAGAGCTCATCTACATTATCCCACATACAAATCTCACCTCTTTTTTGCCCCATGTACAGTGTCAGGTGACTATTTTGCCTGGGTCTACATGCCCAAGACTATCAAAGCTGCTAAACTACATGCTGTTCCTCTGATTTCATAATACTGGCATCACAGCATGAAAAGTAAAAAAAATCTGTGCAGTGTTTGTTCTCTTTAATTTAATGAACTATAAAAAGGGAACTCTAAATACCCACCAAAGTATTCTGGGTGCTTCAGGAGACATTGCACACGCCAGCGAGATTTGATTAACTCCTTGCCTCCTTTCGTGTGTCCATTGCCAGCAACGGATGCCATGTGAGAAGGGGAAGGAATAAAATAATTGCACTCTGTGTGATACAAAACGGATTAACACTGCCTTCATAAGAGCAGAACCAACAAGCAGTTCTCCTCACGGGGCCAGGAGTGCTTTTCCCCTCAGGAATGGATGCCCCCAGGCAAGAAGCAGGTTCACAGCTGAGCATGCCCTACCAGAGACAGGGGGACCCACACAGAAATAGTCTGGCCATTTCCAATACTAAAGTGGAATCCCATAACCACACCAACATGTTTGCATTTCAAGCTAAATTGATCCCTGGTGCAGCTCTGCTGACTATGGTGGAAGAACACCTAAAATTAATCTGGTCCTATCAGGCAACTAGAGCAAACCTCCCCCATAAACCAGTTAGGAGTGAGATACATCTGGAAGCTCCATGTTTGTTGCTAACTTCAAAAGCCAAGACTTGCCAGAACGAATTATGAACCTGTGGATGCCACTTTCAAGCACTTTCCCTGCACTACAACTTTCCTTATACTCCTCGAATGTCCTGAACAGGTTAATTTTCAAACTGTCCCCAGTGCAGGTAGTTCTACAATGGAGCCACAGCACTCCCTCCTGCTCCACCTCTCTACTGCTGCTCTTGCAGCCTAACTTGAAGCCTCACTCAGAGCATGAAGAAGTGCTCTTCAGAGAGGGATTTTTTGTCTTCGTTTGTTTTTTTTTTAATAATGTATCAGGCAGCATGACATATCTCTTGCTGCCTCCAATTATTGTCATGACAATATGGCTGTGGTTATTTAAAGCGGAATTTGGGAAGAAAAAGTAAATCCTCTTGATACACTGAGGAGAACGCTGGGCAGAACTGAGCCAAGACCTGCCAGTGCTGAAGGAAGGTGAGAGTCAGTGCCAGAGGACAGAATCCTGAATACCACATTAGCCACATGAAGGTTTTGACCTTCAAATACAACGGGTTGCAGCCAGACTAAGTCATCAACATCACCAGAAACAGAGGAAACCCTGGGAAGGAAGGCAGAAAACTCTTGTGGCCTGTACAGTCTCTACATGTTTTCACGGCTGAGATGGGAGCTGGAATCTGCATCAGCCCTTCAGGCAAGGTCTGCTTTGAGGGGACAGGGGAGATGGGAAGACTTACGCTATTTCTTGCGCCTTTTGCCAAGATTCAGATTGCACAGATTATGGTAAAATTCACTCGGCAAAAAAAGGCCTTTATTAAAAAAAAAAAAGAAAAAACCAAAAAAATTTCTAGTGAGTATCAGGACTGAGATTTCAAAAAGTACAAGATCTGTATAAATTCAGCAAGATGTCCAGCACCAGGTTATTTCGTGGTGCAATAAAGAACCTGGGGAGAGGCCAAATGGGACCTTGCAAGGGGAACACCATCTACCTCCCCAGCAGACTGCCAGTCTTAGGTTCTTCTCAACAGCAGATGGATTTTCCTTGTTCCTGCAGCATCTCAGGTCCCATGGGAGGTATTGGTTGCAAGCAAGCACCTGAATATTGCCTAATGGAGTAAGCCAATCACTAACTTAGCTGGCGTGTCCATGCTCATCCGCTAATTAGTTTTTTTTCTTTTTGTGTGCATTTCCACTGTAGCATTTCTTTTTCTTCTTTCTCCACATAAAAGAGTAAGCAAAAGGACTGCTTTCATCTGTAATAAGTTAAAATCAGAAACAACCTAACTAACAAGTAACTGATATTGGTCCTTGGAGCCCAAAGAATAAAATCCATAGAAAATCTATTGGTTCCATTTTTTTCTGGTATATCCCATGCACACCCCCATTAGAAAAATGGGGTTTATGAATCTTATCATACAGCAAGGAGCAGTACCTCAGAGCCAGAGCTGACAGTCCGTTGTAGAGGTCTGGGCTCTCTCAGATTGCTAAATGTGGTACTGAGTCAGTGCTCAATCAGTCTTCACATGGCCATTGGCCAAAGCAACAGGGACGGTGGGAGCCCCTGGCTCGGCAGTCTCATCGAATCGTAAGCGCAGGGTGTTTCTGATCACCAGCTGCTCCATGATGAAAGAAGCACAAAACCATGGGATGGCATATTCCAGGGTGATCAGGCCCATGAAGTCAAAATCAAACTGGGAATAGTCCCATGGGCAGGCATTGAACTGGCGTAGGATGAGGCCGGTGGTGAACTCCCAGAGGTATGTCCAAAGTGTGTAAATGAAACAGCGCACTAAAATGTTACACTTGTCTTTAAGATATAGATACATCTTCTCCACAATGAGGATTGACGTGCCATAGATGAAGAGCGCCCACACACTGGTAACACCTGGGAACTTCCAGTTAAAGTTGACCACAAACTCCCAGGCAGCTGTGAACATCACCTCACAGAAATAGCCGTGAATGGCGTAGAGGTACCATCGGGAGAAAGCAGTCAGAGGTTCTGCTGCAGCCATTCTTCTGCACACACCCCAGCAAGCACTCTGAAATTAAGAGAGAGACAGAGAGAAGAGTCAATAAGGATGTCACAAGTCCTTATCCCCCAGATGGCAACGCACACAAACTTTTAGCATCCAAAAAGGACAAATCTGAGAAAGGTGTGAATTTTAAATCATCTCATTTTTACCATAACAAATTCTAAGCCTTGGGGAAAGGTGGCACCTTACCAGGCTCTGAGTCTCAGAATGGGCCTGGACAACAATTACCACTCTGCCTGATGCAGCTGGTACTGCCTTGGTGATAAGGAGGGAGCTGACAGGTACAAGGGCTTTGCCAGGGGTGAGGCTGCCAAAGAACTTACTGGTTGCAAGTTAGCAGAAAAACACAGTCATCTCACAAGGAGCACACATCACATTTTTGCTCTTTTCAAGAAACAGCGCTGTCCCCTACTTTTGAGATTCTAATGTGGAGTTAGATTAGATGAACATAGCACTGAAAATGTGCACCCTTCCAGCTGTCACCTACAGTCTCTATACCCAAAATGTTTACTGTAGTGAAAAAACTGAGCTTTGATGGGAGCTACAGATAGGGAACAGGAGAAGAAAGTTTCAGAGGCTTTACACTTGCAGACACCACACCTTGCACCCATTATTCAGCTGAACTGTTATTTCTTCTGTTAAAGAACTCATGCATTGTGTGGCTACTAGGACTTGGAAAATAATTTTCTTATGGTGTCAGACTGCCTGATATCAAGTCAAAAAGTACAAGAGAGCCATTGAAATCCATTCAGCTTTGGCTTCACAACAGCAAAACACAAAGGAGGAGCATAAAAAGGAACAGCTGAGCATAGAGAGAGGTGGTTAGTCATGATAAATAGGAAACGAGAACAAACTCTAATTGTCTCTACAGGAAGAAACTTGGTGAAGAGGTTTTGAAAGGGCACAATTTGCTTATCACTGAACTGTTTCAGCACAATTAGTTTTTACACTTTTTGTAGAGATTTACAAGGTCCTAAGCATTGCTCTGCCACACTACAGTCCCTGGCCCAAGCTGATTTTAAGCACAATTTTACTGAAGCCTTACAGATTTACACCACAGGGTTAATTTGACCTCTTTCATTCTTATAAACTTACTCTTTTGAATTAGGTTTCTCTGGACTCTTCATCAGGCACTATTTAACTTCTTTGCTCTGCACTAGACAGTTCTGTAGCACAAGGTGCTTGGAAAGGACCACACTAATGTTACATGCAGTCGTTCCAATGCTATCTGGAAAGAGACTGTTCCTGCCCTGCTCTGTAAACATGGTGTCCCCCTAAACAAAGTATTAAAATGCAGTATGACTAAAATTCTGATAGGAGAAAAGAGAAACCTTTACAAGGAAAAAGGAACTATAATAATGAACATAAAGAAAATATGCAGAATATTCACGGGGGAATATTGAAAGTGGAAGGGACAGAGCTGTGTCCATGACCTATGCACTCCTCTCTTAAATGGACACCCAAACAACCGAAGTCTTGGCAGTTCATATGATGTGGTGCTTGAACAAAGACCCATTTCCTAATGGCACAATCCATTTTACACAGGACACTGAACTATCATCAGATAGTTCATCATCAAGGCCTTCTAAGCTTTTCCACTTGTGGTTCTTAGTCCTTGCACCTCCCTCAACAGCTTTACATGAAATGTATTTGAACTGTTAGCTGGAAGCATCCACAGCATACAGTACTATCTGTAAGGTTTTCCTTGTAAATTTTAAAATCTCTTCACAAAGTTGAATCAAATGCACAGAAAGTTCTTCCCTCTCAGTCCCTCCCTTCTAATTCCAAGGATCCCCTCACCAATTATTTCCATTGCCTTACACCTGCCCACCAAAGCCAAAGACTCACACAAATATATCCAACAAGCCATGTCCTATTCTGTCCCACAGTATTTCCTCTGTGCAATGAATATTTCTCTTTCCTGATTCTATACCACATATATAATAATTATCTATTTATTCTGCATTTCTTTTTTACACTTTGCAAACTATCTAGTCACTTATACTAGAAGTCTAACCACTGAATCTAGACCAGGTCTGGGACAATGTCTACAACAGAAGTTAACCCATTGCAAAGGCCATCACTGACTTCTTTTGAATCCTGGACCTTTCACCACAACTGCAAAGAGACAAGCATCAATATGTTGACACTGTCAATATCTGCCTTCTACTGTGACGTGCCCAGTCGGCCCAGCCTCGATTGGAACTTCCTTCTTACAGTATGCTTGAAAGAGTCCTCATAGGCTACCTGCTGATTAAGAGCATCCCAAGACAGAACAGATGCCAACTGTGGTAGCCCAAACATAAACTGGTTCCACTGTGCTAGGCACTAAGCAAATCCATAAATCACAGCTCCTCCTGTAAAATATTTCATTCAAACTGAAACAAGAAGTACACAGTAAGACATAGAAGGGAATGGAGGATACCCAGGGAGCCTACAACAAGCTACAGCACATCACCGCACAAGTTGGGGACTGCACAATGTAATGGTTACAACTCACTTGAGCATTTACAAAACACTTAAAATTGCAGCTGTTTCCCAGCATCTTATTTCCAGCCATACTGAACTGGCTGGTGCCTGTAGGCAATATAGCACAAGAAGGTCTCAAGAGGGAAATGAAGGAGAAAAGTGTTGTTTTATCAGGCAGCAATTCATGATAAAAGGATCAAGCTGAAACGTAGTTGCAGGACATTAGTGGGAGAAGCATCCAAACAGAAGGCCAAGACTGGATTCAGTAAGAAATGCAGATTTGTGAAAAGCCTCAAGTAGATAATTGAACTTGGTGATGCAAAACTTTTAATGGAGTGACAGTAATACAGACCAAAAAGCTCTGGATGTATGATAGCTATTCAGTCTCCTGAGGAAAACAAATGACGTATGTCACTGAGGTAGTTACAGTGGGATGGGCAGCGGCTTCCTGAAAACCAGAAACATGGCTGTACCTACACAATTGTCTCAGCAGAGAGCAAACAAGTCCTGGAGGCTGCACATGGATGGCCATGCTTGTGCTGAGGCTGCTCACACAGGAAGCTTCTAAATTCAAAGCTATGAAAATTCTTTCCATCATCATCAAATTATATTTCAAGCAGCTAAAGCAGAGATAGTTCCTCTAATACAATCTTATTAGGAGGGCTGAGCTAAGGCAGCACAGAAATTTTCACTTTTTCTCCAGTCAGATCTTCTTTTCCAGCCTGCTGATAGAACTAAAAACGCAAGTCTATGGAAACCACACATGGGCCTCAGAGGAACACGCAGTCCTTTCCCCAACTGCGCTGCCTACGTGGATAACGCTGCTGGCGATGCAGGGGCCAAGAGCCCCTCCACCTACAGCAAACCAGCACATCGGGGGAAGCGTACAAAGGACCGTGTTTCTCTATGGAAATCTGGTTCAGAGGATTAGGGCACGATTCTGAGTTAGGCCTGCAAGAAAATGATATTGTAACAACACAAAAATGATACTTTTATATTTTAGAATATCAACTCTGAAATGGATATTCATCATCTCCTAGGTTGATGTAAGACACAGATAAACCTGATGTACAGGGCCAAGTAATACTCGCATTCAGTTTTGCGGGTGATGCAGCCTGGGCAGGCAAGAGGCAAGTGATCAGAAAATGGGCTGATGGGAGACGAAGAAAGAATGGCAGATTTGTCACACACAAGCACTGCAGGGGAGACATCAGTGCATGTCACGTTCATGCCTGAGGAAGTTCTTGAGCACTGCCTGGTTCATTTTTTTCAAAGCTCTCTTTGCAGTGGCTTTCCGCCTGTTTCCCTGCTACCAAGCCAAACTGTGCTTCAAAAAGTCTCTCCCAGATTGTCTCTATTCCCTCTACTCCAAGCAGAATTATTTAGAGTCACAGCCTCTGGATGGGTATAATGAGACCTTGTCAAGATAATCTGAATTAACTGTGAAGTGCTATTAAAAGAAAAACACAAACAAAAAATCTCCATGAGACAATTCCACTGACCAGTGATGGCCTAAGGCTATAAATTCTGTCAGCTACTTGATTCAGCACAGGTGAACTTGAACTACTGCAGGAAGTTCCTTATTCTTAGCACGCAGTTGTTTCTGCCAGTTAAAAAGTTAGGGCACCGTGTTATTTTACAAATTCTTATTTGAGGTATTTAATTTAACTAATATTTAGTTTTATAACATGCATGTTCATATTTCTAAGAAATGCCTTAGATACATCTATAGCCCTATGTTATATGTCATAATTACTTTTTAATTTGGAAGAGTAACTGCAGACAGAGGAGGCACATATGTAGTAGGGTACTTCAGTCCCTCCAAACAACAGGACTGTGAGCCGCAGACAGCTCTGAAGTAGAGCGCATCTGCCACTCCCTGACCATAAGCATTACTACTTACGATACTCTCTTTGCTCAGCCCCTTCTTACCCAAACAGTACTTGTGTAAGTTCCTCATGACTTTTTGAATTACTTCCATTGGCACATCATTGTAGCTACTGTGTTCTTCCTTAAGACTGGGAGAATCAGGCGTGTATCTGGCTTTTCTGCTGTAACAAAGAGTACAGTAGATGCAAGGATATGTTGATGAAAATTGACACGGATTTTGGGGCAATACCTTTTTAAATGTAATTCTTTCTCTCTTATTTTGCATTTTCCGTGTAAGTAAACACCAAATGAGCACGCCTTTGCAACCATGGACAACATTCAGTGAATGTGCTGCAAATCTGGCTTCCACATTTTAGTTTAAATCTCACACAAACCATTAGGATTTACAGAACACTGGTGCTGGACTTGGCCCCAAGACATTAGTTCATCAGTCTTTAAAGATTTATGAAGTAAAGTCTTAGCGGTACTTATATGCTGAAGTCATAACTCTGAGGAGATATTCATCCTTCAGGTAACTGAGAGCCTCAATTAACTGTGGCTCAGAAAATAGAATTTTGACTGTACTGAAGTGCGGAATAGTTCCAGCAGATCGATTAATCAAGCCCTGCAATGAAGCTAAAAGCATGTCACAGACAGATGTCTCCAAA